ATCACATTTTACAATTAGTTATTCAGTGTTAAAATCCCCTCCACGCACCCCCATGCCATCACTTCTGAAGGGATACCTAACGGAAACTTTCCTAATTTTCTAATTATCCATGAGACTTTTGTATCTCAAAAGCGTGATAGTCAATTGGTATGAAAAAAGATCCTGAGTTTGTTTTAAAATCCTCTTCTTATTTGTATAATCAAGTCATTATAACTCATCATTTAGTTTTTCCAATTCAAATGATTTTTGATCTGGCTTCAAAGAAATCAACGTTTTTGGTTTTAGATATTTAATGTTTTGATTGCATAACACAGGCGTTCGTTTGTGAGAAAATAACTCCACATTTAATACTGCCTTGTCATATTTGCGCGAAGCAGGAAGAAAAGTAAGATAGAGTTCGTTAGACGGCTATATATAGTCTTTATTTCAGTTCAAAGGGTAAAAACACATATCCTATGTTACAATATATTGAAACTAAACTAAACCGTACCTAAAAATTAATCTACATTTACAAACGTGGATTTGAAGCGTTGGGTATTAAGTTTGGGGCAAAAGCACCCTTTCCTACGTAGATTGTATGCGGTATTTTTCTCTTCAGGAATGATGTGTTTAAGAGGGTGCGAGCCCAGTGAGATCGCCTGATCAAAATTTTTCTCTCCTGTGTCTCTGAAAAGCTTGAAATAATGAGCTGACCGGAACTATATCGCGGCATGTAACATTTATCAAAGAAGCGCTGGATTTGCTTTTTAAGGTCTCGGACTCAGAGGCTCCATACACAGGAAGATGAAAAATTTGGTAAAACAATAGATCTAAAGAATAAAGGCTGATAGTTTCGAAAGAAACTGTTTGGGGCTGCGTCGGTAGGAGTAACGAAATAATTTGGATATATCAACAAAGTTAAAATGGTAAATTGGCCACCGTAACGATTAAAAAAGCTGACGTTTCGAGCGTTAGCCCTTCGTCGGAGACATGGTCTATTTCTCGCTGACTGTAGCGTTCTCTCCTGAGAGTTCGCAGAACGTGTAGGTGTTTGTTTGCTTCATTAGCCTCAGCTTTGCGTGACTGCTAAATTTACTGTCATTCCTGCTTGACCGCATAACGTTTGCAACTTAGTTCAACTGCCCCAGAATTAAGCAGTGAAAAATGTTTTATAATTATTCTTCTAGCTTCTCAGGACGAGAAAAGTCAGTTTTTATTAGAACATACGATTTAGAGAAGTTAATTAAGAAATCAAAAAGCAATATGAAGCAATATCGGTTGATGTTGAGCGTCAAACTTAACGGTTCCGTGATGTAAGAGACACAGGAAGTAAGCTAAGACAGTACTAGTACGATACAAATTGAAACATTATCTGCGCTACAGCGGTACTCTATTGCTACAATCTCTTAAATTTCCCTTCAAAACAGAGCAAATACTACATTTAGGCCTGTAACTCTGCACCAGCCAATGAATACGACCACTTTCGCAAGTTAGGCAAGTTTTCTCGTGGATTTACATAAAACTTTCCGTTTAACTTGATCTTGATAAAATTACGATATACACTGTATGCTCACTGTCAATCGTGCTATGAAGAGTGCGTTATGTTAGTAAACCAGTGAAACCGTGTTCAAGATAAACCTTCAGACAACCGTTCCAGCAATTCACTGTCGGAAACAGTCGTCTGCTGTCAAATTCTTTACGCGGAAAGACTTCCTAGAGGAATCTAGCCGAGAATGCAAACGCGGAAACGGCTTCGCCATTTCATTTACGTGTCACAGAATGATTAAGTGATTATTTTGGATTAAAAGTATAAGCTTTAAAGGATTCACTCCTTGTCCTTTTACGATGAGGCAAGGACATAAAGCCGTTGCTTCTCTAAGAGTTAAGAAAAGACGAGATCCTATGCGAGAAAAGAGGCAGCTAAAGTTGTTGCTATAATTGTTGAATCTGAAACATGCTCAACTTGACTTTTACGGTTATGCTGACATGCCGGTCACTCAGGAATGCCATAGTCAACAGAAAAAATTTAAATGTATACATACATTTGATGTTAGTTCCAATTGAAATTAGTTTACTTTATCATTGTGCACGAACACTCGAGACACTGACTCGATTTCTTCTATAGTTCTTCTCAGTGAGGAAATGTCAACAGCTTTCTATATTGGCTTTTATATGATCAACACGCTTGCATTAGGAACTCTCGTATAAATATCTTTTAAGATAGATCTTCACGGGAAAGACTGTCACTTTTTTCTACTCTTCCTCAGCCATATATTTTGGGAGCTGTTGTCAAATCAGAGTTAGTTAAGTCATATTTAAAGCATTGGCAGTCATAAAAATTGCTTGTTTAGCCAAATCGTAGTTATACGTGGAGACACTCCCCCTAGAAGTATCTAGAATGCAAACACGGAAAAACTACCGTAACCTTTACTACCATCGACATGTCCTTTAATGTGTGGTAATTTTAGATCAAAAAGGATAAATGATTGAGTCTTTGTCCTCTTATAGTGAAACAAGGAGATAAAAGCTTAATTTCCTGTGCAGGAGACAGGATTTCCCGCCGAAAACATTGAAGCTGAAACAAGCTGAAACCTCCACTTCTTCCCTCCTGCCTTAAGTAGAATATTTATGCTGCAGGCTAGACACAGTCGAACACAAACATTTTAAAATAGAAATACTTTAATTTGGGGATGATTTTCAATTGAAACTGCCGTACGTTTATTTATTTATCTATTGTCTACTAATTCTTGATTCGTTCGAAGATTCTTTCCTTTGATGATATCGACGATATTGAGCGTGCATTCTGTTATGAAGTACAATTTAGTTTAAACTGCGAGATTAAAGAAAACTGAAACAGACAACTCGATAGTCGTTAGTGCTTTCGAAAAAGTGTGTCGCGATCTGCAGCTAGTTTCCCCTTCAATGCGACAAATTAA